TGAGGAAGCTTGCCTGGGGCACGAAAATCACCAAACTAACCACCTTATCTTAGAGTCAAAGGGGAAAAGTAGTTAAAACTTGATGTCAAATAAGCACAGGGCACCAAGCTTCATGACAAAGGCTACAAAGGCTCAATACCCTCACACACACTTGGGTCCACTCATTCACTTTTCCTACTTGCCCTGCCAAATGGATAAACCAAATATTGGGCAAGAATTATGTTTCTGAATCATGGAGGGTATATTTAAGAGTAAATAGGTGAATAAACAAACTCAGTGGCAGAAAAACAATGTACAACCCACTTCATGGTTGCCCAAGGCAAAGCTGCTGCTTCAACAATAACAGAATCTAATCAGTAAACCTCCCAGCTGCCAAAATTATACAAGCAACTTGACTATTTAAAATGTCACATTTCCCATCTGATATAAATATTTGCCTTCTGCTCACATTCCTGAAGTGTAATACAAATTAGGTCCAAACTAAAATTCACCTTGGCACAAACTATTTCATTTCTTTTTTCCTTTCAAGGGACCCAGATTGTGCATTATAGAAATGTGAAACTCTAGTGTAATTAAAACAAATCACCGGAGCCTGGGTCGGTTTTCAGCCTAGGCTTTTTGAACATTATTTTACATGCAGGATTGGCTTGACCAGTATATTCAACTCCACCGAGACTAGGTTCAACTTCAACAACTTCTAATACACAATCATAAGGCCACCTGCTATTGTATTTCAGGAGAAAATAACAGTAACATTTTTTCAAATTTTATAAATAAAATCCAGTAGCCATAAAGCCCAACTCAAAAAAAAAAAAATGTTTATAAAAGATTAATGAAAAAGAAAAAAAGAGCCAATTTAAAAGACAGACATGACCAAAGTCTTTTTTGGGGAGGGTGGGGGAGGGGCATGTCTGTTTGTAGCAGTATACATACCACTTCATTGCTGGCAAGAAGAAATTTAAACCATCACAAAAGTCCCCAACGCACACACACTTTTCTGCCTTCCTATAAAGGCTTTTATATAACAACTGTATATGCAGTTTGGAACCATTTGTTGGGGGGAGTGGGGTGCTAAAGCCACTCCTGGGTTTGAAGGGGGCCATTGCAAGATGGTGGCTGGCCCAGGGCCAGGAGGCGGAGCTGGTCTCACCAGCAGGTAAACAGGAAGTCACAGGGATAGGCTAATGCCCCCGCTGCGATTACTGGCCTATCATGTAGCACCAAGTGGACCCATGGGGAGAAGTGATTGGTGGAAAAGGATATAAAAGTAGCCAGTAAAAGCTAGGCGAGGACAGGGACAGACGGACGGACAGGACAGAGGGTTACATTGTGAGGAGACTGGGGAGCGATGAGGAGAAATACTCGAGAATGAAGCAGAGAGTACGGGAAGAAATGTGGGAAGAAGGGTGGTGGAAAACAGGAGGAAAGGTGGTAGAAGAAGCAGGAGGAAAGCTAAGGCCAATGGGGACAGGCGTGGCAGAGAGAAGGATTTAAACACAGCCACTTTTGGCAATAAGGGGTCTGGGTGCGGTGCCAGCTTTTCCTGGACCCTCAAGGGTAAGCCTCGTCATTTTAGTGTCGCCACTGCTAGGCAGCAATGACAATTCATCTCCAAGAAGTACCCTCAGAGTAGTTCTACTGGAAGTTCCTTGGGAGCTGTTTAAAATACAGGTCACTAGACACTGTAAGAATTAGACATAAAGGAGCAAAACCCAGGAATCTTCATTTTTAACACTTTTCTTCCCACATCACCAAAAACTCAAAACAGTGTAGTTGTCCTACAAATGTAGTCCTGAAGTCTTTAGACTTCCCTTCTAACCAAACTAAAGCCACTACACTGCTCTTATAGGAACCTGAGTCACCTGAAGTATTCAAGCCAGAGACCCTGAAAATCCAAGATGTAAGCACATCATACTAGTTGGTTTTTTAGTTTAAGTATTTTTTATAAACGTGAAATAGTCAACAATTTCATGTAGTGCAGAGATCCAGTTCTAAAAATATACGGATGTTACCTAGCCCCTCCTTAGCTCTTTCTTAAATTTTGCACTAACATTTTTCTTATACTTTAGACAGAGGTTTAATTCTCCATTAAACAAAGATTTCAACAAGTAAGAGCAGAAACATCACTGTTAATGGGGATACAGACAAGGGCTCTAAACAGTAATCAAATTCCATGATTTCAACATTATTCTTTCTTATACTCCACCTATGAGATAACACAGGTCAATAAAGGGATATTTGTCTTTTGGGGTCTGGTTTATTTTACTAAGCATTATGGACCCCCAAATTTCACATTGAATCTGTTACAAACTAATTTAAAATTAAAAACAAACAGAAAGGCAGACAATAAGAACAAAGCTTGTGAGGATGTGGAGAAAAAGGTACTCTAATATTGTATTAGTAGTAATCTAAACTGATATAAACATCAGGGAAAGCAGTATGGAGATTCCTCAGAAATCTAAACAAATCTATCATATGACCCAGCCATCCCTTCCTGCGGATTTAACAAAAGGAAGTGAAATCAGTATACAAAGGAGTTACCTATATCCCATGTTAGTAACATCTCAACTCACCACAGATGTTGTGGCTAGGTTGGGTCAAAAATTCCTATTCCAGGTTCTTGCCTCTTAAAGAAGCATCCTAAGTACAGGGACAAAGACAGTGTACAAACTAATGAAGCTTACTACAAAAGTGAAGAAGCCATATATATCTGAGTGTGCACATGCACACACACACAAACACACACACACACGGTCCTCTAAACAATACAGTAGGTAAGGAAGGGGAAGCAAGGAGAGGAGTGTTTTCCACCCCGAGTCCTCTGGGTCCATAGGGAAATAAAATGAAAAAAAAAAAAAAGAAAGAGAGCCCTTCTTCATTATGGGCTCTTAAAAGGCTCCAAAAGGGGGTGGTTATGTGGTGCTGCCTCCCCCCGGACCCCAGGTACCAGGTAAGGGGAGAGATTTCTTGGAATGAGGTCACTTGGCTGACAGGTGGATGGACAGCATTACATGGGGTGGGGATAGGCGTGGCTTCCACCTTGTGACTAGTGAGCTGTCACCTTGTGACTAGCTAGTGAGCTGCCTATCTTATATCTCAGTCACTATAGAAGGCAGTATAGAGATTCCTCAGACATGTAAAAATAGATCTACCATATGACCCAGCAATCCCAACCCTGGAAATACAGCCAAAGGAAATTTAATCAGCATATGAGGAGGTTACCTGTACCCTCTTGTTCATAGTAGTTCAACTCACAGTAGATAAATTACAGAACCTAGATGTGTATCAGCTAATGATGAGATAAGGAAATATCTGGTCACATATATATATATATTTTTTCTTGATTTTGTGGCAGCTAGTATGTAGAATTTTTTAAAATATTGCTGCTATTGTGGCATACCAAACTAAACCTCCATCTGCAACGCAAGTATCCCTCGTGAGCACTGGTTTACTTTTTGTCTGCTCCATTTCCAATCCAGTTCCTTGCTAATGTTCCTTGGAAAGTAGAGTAAGTTGGGCCCAAGTTGTTGGGCCCCTGTAACCACCTGTCATGCCTGGAAGAAGCTCTGGGTTTCTGTGATTGGTCTGACTCAGCCTTGTCCATTATGGCCACTTGGGGAGTGAACCAGCAGATGAAAGGTTTTCCCTGTGTGTCTCTGCTTTCCTCTCTCTAACTCTTCCTTTCAAACAAAAATTCAATATATATGAAGAAAACTGACACCTTGCTATTTGATGATTATTTCTAACACTTGTCTGTTCTCTAGAGAACAGTGGTTTCTCTTTATATTTAATGACTTGCTACTTAGTGGAAGATTGAACCCGTGACTATAAAGTAAATTGAAAGTGTATTCCCACAATGCAGAACCTGGGGTGCAGCACATAATGGCTCAAGTAGTTGGGTCCTGCCACCCATGAAGGAGACCAAGACTGAGGCAGCCTTGCCTATTCCCAATTATTTTAGCCATTTGATGAATGAACTCTAGTGAATGGGGACTAATGCTCTCATTCCCATGCCCTAATCTCATTCTTTTTCTCTGCCTCTCAATATACCAGAAAGTCTTTACAATTTGTTTAACATGCCCATGTCTAATTACCATAGGTTCTCCCAATCCCAGCAAAGAACTTAAAGCAGGGGCTTGTTTAATTTAACAGAGTCCCCGATGTTCCCTAACCAACTATACTCAGCCACGTTAACTCCAGTTTGTACATAAACCATCTCCTGAGGACAATAATGCCAATTACTCACGTTTATCACCACCTAAAGGCTGTGACCAATAGTCAAACACCAGTAACTAAACACCACAGAAATCGCCCCTTCCCTCACATTTCATATGGACAACTCAGAGACTCCTGTGTATTGAATTAGCAATGATTTGGTTTCAGTATGAATGACCCTACTTTTGGACATATTTCCAAGTCCTCTGAGCTGCCAATGGTGTGCACACTTACATGGAAACATTAATCAGGAAAAGAATGCACAATGCATATAAACACCAATGGATTGTCATAAGCCTCTTTTGTTCAGCACATACGGAAACTGCCACAGAAGAAACTTAGAACCTGTCCTTAAGTTTCAATTTACATATTTAACCAATATATCTAAAAGCAAGAATTTGCATTTTGTTGTTTTTGTTTGGATGATCTGATATTTTAATGATCTCTATAATCAATTCATATTTATGTTCCTCAAAAATAATCTCAATTTACAAATTGTTCTTTTGTGAAATTAGGAATTGATTTTTACAATGACTCTGTACACTTGAGACAATCAGTGCTGTCTCATGGTGACCTGGGGAGAAGGCATCATCTTTATCTCCAATCATGAACAAAGACTTTCGCATCTTCAGGACAATTTGACCTTTCATCTGAAATCTTTGTTGTTAAATCAGAAATTGCAGAACCTCAACTCTAAGGATGTGAAAATAGGGATCATAAAAAAAAAAAGCTGTTCCTAGTTTCTACAAAGAGGTTAAACAATAGAGAGAGGAACAAAATCATACCCTTGCTCAGGGGAGGCTTAATCTCTTCATCCACATCTACATCTTCTACATCTCGAACACTGTGTACCTAGAAAAGGATTAACACCAGTTTTATGTATGTTAGGCTTGCAAACATGCAACGAGGAGTCAGTGAATCCACTCTCAGCTGAGCAGCTGGATCTGTACTGATGAACTCTTGAGTCCCAGCTCAAAACCTTCCCAGAAACATCTGAAAAAAAGCAATGAATCTGGAAGTTGCCCTGAATGTCTCTGAACACCATAGTCAGATCACTATAATGAAAGAGAAATAACAGTGTTCAAAAAAGGAACTTCACTGCAGAGTCTGTCCCAGAACACACGTGTAACAGCAGCATGACAATCCTACACAATGCTTTTGCTCCTTTGGTTTTGTTTTATTTACTGTTGCTTCCCAAGCAACTGGTGGTTGTGGTTCTGGCTATTATCCTAACAGCATGCTTTCCTGCAGCACTCTGAAGAATCAAGGGGAAGAAATTAAAGGGAGCAGGAGAGAAAGGTTCATTCAAAACAAAAACACCCTGCTTTGGGTAAGTCACAAAAGAGGTGAGCAGGGCAAAAATCAAGTGTTTGCTCTTTGAGCAGATAAAACTGAAAATTACTTCAAAGTGAAAAGCAGAGCAAATGACCTTTGCAAATACAATAGCAGCATTTCAATGAACCGCTGTTCCACAGGTAATACAATTTCCCACTGCAAGCTGACAATGAGATATTTTAGATTAACAAAATGGTAACATTTCAGACATGAACTAATTCGTCTCAGGTGAATATCAAACAGTACAAATAAGGAAATGATTCCACCATTGCTATGAATGACATCCAGCAAAGGCCTAACTCTGAGAAGCCTTTTTCTGCTCATGACCTTAACTTGTGCAAAAAGAAATACCTTAGAATTACACATTTATATTTCATAATTCCAATTCAAAAGACAAGTGTTTTGTCCCCTGGTTCTACTTGCTAGACCATGGTCGTTTCACGGAAATGTCAGATGGCAGTTGCATTCCTTATAAGTATATAACTGTAGTCATTGCTTGGTTTCCATGTCACAGAAATTTATCTTCCATATGTGATGGTTTCAGCACTAAAATTTTAGAATCTTATGTTATACTGTCACTTATTGGCAAATACCAAAGGGGACTAGTGTCATGTTTCTCTATCAAAATGTCCCTTATATTTATTAAGTCTTAAGAAAAAATAGCCAGAACCCACACAACAAAGAATAGTTTAAGATACTCAAACACCAGTTAAAAAAAAAAAAAGTAAAGACAAAACCTGCTGCCGTCTTCATAGTTTGTGTAAAAGCAGATTATGGGGAACAGAGCTAGGGCACAGCAAGTTAAACTACTGCTTAAGGGGCATCTCACATAGACACATAGAGGTACCATTTGCAATCCATTTTCCTGTTAATGTACCTGGGAAAACAGCAGAAAAATGGCATAAATTCTTGAGCCCCTGCCATCTATGTGGGAAACTCAGATGAAGCTCTTGACTCCCAGCTGCAGCCTGGACCAGCCCAGGCTATTGGGAGTCATCCAGGGAGTGAAGCAGTGTATGGAAAAATCGATCTCTCTCTCTTTAAAGAATAGCGTAGGAGCCAGTGCCATGGGATAGTACGCTAATCATCGTCTTGCAACATCATTATCCCACATGGGTACCAGTTTTGAGTCCCAGTTGCCCTACTTTGGATCCAGTTCCCTGTTTATTGCCTAGCAAAGCAGCAGAAATTAGCCCAATTCTTGGGCCCCTGCACCCATATAGGACACCTGGAGGAAACTCCTGGTTCCTGGCTTCAGATGGGCCCATCTCTAGCCATTGCAGCCATTTGCGAAATAAACCAAAGGATGGAAGATATCTCTCCCTCATGTCTGTAACTCTTTCAAATACAAACAAAATAAATCTTTTAGCATGACATAACAAATGAGTTCTGTGATTTTTGTTTAGTTTTGTGTATCTATTTGTGTGAGCCTGGATTTTTTCTATTAAAGTTAATTCATACCTTACCTTCATTCGCCTTGCCTGACTCAGGTCACCTTGAAGGGAACTGCCAAGTGTTTGACCTTCATCCATCACTATCTGAAAACATAGTGAGAATACACTGAAGAAAAATCGACATAAACAAACTGGCCTCATAACTATGCTGACTGAATATTTGTGATAGTCTAGATTCACTAAGCCATAGGAGTTTAGGGAATGGGTTTCAGGAGGTCTGACTTCCACTTCTCAGCTCTATATTCATCCATCGTCTAACAGGGTGGACTGGATTATTTAACTCCAGAGTTCTCACATGTAATACAGGAAGATCTCTACCTCCTTTCTCATTACAATGAACCTCCAGTGAACAAATCAGGGAACACCAATGTAACATTTTTAGGTCAATATAACAAAATCCCATTCAACAAGTGCAAGTGAGGAGTGAATTCACCCAGGGGAAAAGATTCATATTTCATAATCACATCATGGGAAGCTGGTCTAGAAATAAAAAATTACTGGCTTGTGCTCCTATAAGGACATTTTTTTTTTTGCTACCCTGTATAAAATAATATTTCTTCTACAATTTTGTCACCCTTATCAGAGAAAAGACATAATAAAGCAGCAACTACAAATGCAAATGGCTTTAAAAGTACAACAGCTTCCACTACAATCCCTTGATAATTAAAAACTAAGGGAGAATATGAATAGAACCTATAAAATCCTGAAGACTGGAAAAGACACCAATCAACATTTATGTACTAAATTTTATAGAAATAAGAAAATAGATTTTACATTATGTCTGAAAGAAATGATTCTAGGATAAGTCAGGGAAAGTCCCATTTTACCGAATTAAAAAGAGAACTCTTTTATCCAAAATATGAAATGATCTAAAGGATATAGTTTATGAATAGAAGATTCTTAAGAGTTTGCTAATGAAAACTGAAGACAATCAAAATACCATCATAAGCTGAAATCAAGGAAATGTATAGTCGCTTTCAATAAAGTGCTCCAATGGCATCCCAGATTTAGGAATTACCATCCCAATAGCTGTCTAATGTTTCTCTACGCCTTTCTTTTTTCAGTCCATAAAGATTACTTCCTCTTCTCAGACTGCTTTTAGAAATGTGTATGGCATTACCTGTTCTTCCGAACATTGTGAACAAGTATGAAGAAAGGTGGTCTTATTTCTCAGACAGCGGTGGTCATTTCGTTCATTTTCACGAGTGAATTTTACTAAGGGAAATATTTTTTCTGAAGAATTGGTTCCAAATGCTTCCCGTTTGGTCCCATCATCCTCTGAAAAAAATAAGCAGTATAGTAGTAGAAAACATCTTCCACACTCAATTTGGCTTACTTCATTCATGTATTGCAAAACTTTCTTCCAACAAGTTTGCAAATAACCATACAACTGAATGTTTAAGTCCGTAAGCACTCTTTACTTTAAAAAGTTACTTCAAAACAGGCATGGAAATGCAACACTATTTCCTTCAACATTCAAAATGTTTATTATATGTCTACGTTGTATCTGTTTAGCACAGTTCTTGGCCACTGTTGAAAGATCAATTTAGTATTTGCAAAACTATCCCATTTTCTTTTCTAAATGTGAAGGATTTCTCCTTTATGTCGAAGATCAGATGATTTCCAAAAAAAAAAAAATATTTTAAGAGAAAAAAAAAGCAATCATGAAAAACATTAAAATTCCACAAACCAGAAAAGCCAGAACACATTTTTTCCATCACATTTTCTAATCTTCTTTTGCATCAATGTACTTCTAAACATCAAAACAGAATCATATAAAATATGTTATATTGCAACTCAATTGCCAGAAATATTTTTCTTTTTCCTTTGCAACACTGAACTTTCTTCTCTGTAATTTTCATAGTTACATAGAATTCCATCATATAAAATATAATTCCTTATTCTCCACTGCTTAAAATACTAAAAATGAGTATCTCTGCACTAAATTCACAATTACCTCCTGAGCCAGGAAGAAGTCTAAGATTAATCCTAAATTAAGAGACTGAGAGAACTAGGATATCGTGATGCTACTAACAAAAACTTGAGGGAGAAACAAAACCGAGTAAGCTTGGTGCAAGACAACGAACTGAGGTTGGCTATGCTGCATTTGAGCACCTGGTACAAACCATGGTGGAAATCACTGAAGAATTGCAGCTGCAAATGCAGGCTGATAAGTGGGAAAGATATCAGATATAATTAAGTATTAATTATCAATTACATGAAGAAAATGGCTTAATCCACAAAATTATGTTTTAAATCAGTATTTTTAAAGTTAAGGAGTTAACATTCATGGAGGGTTATCCTTCATGAATACCCCATCAATTGTTTCATCTAATGTTTGTAACACTCTTAGAAGTAGGTGCTGTTACCACCTCAGCTTTATAGAAAAACAAATCAAAGCCAACAGAATAATTAAGTAACTTAATTCACCAGGCTATATACCTGGTGAGTAGCAGAGTAGGGGTATAAACTCTGGTATTCTGGCCCTAGAATCCATTTTCCTGACCGCTGTGCTTTGTTAACTACAACAATAAAGCAGATGATTAGGAAAAGTCCTGAGAAAATAAAACAAATTTAAAAATTCAGGGGAAAAAATGTATGCAGAAAGCAAAGACTAAAAGCTTACAACACTTGGAGAGGGTCTGGGGCTCCAAACTAGATTTTTCAAGCGGGACCTTTCTTACTGTAAATGACAATAAAAACAGGAATTCATGTCGATGGAGTACTGAAGGAATTCTAAAGCAGACAAGTGGCTGAAATCATGTGATTCCTGGTTTTGGGAATCCAATTCCATTCCTTATGATCTCTAACCATGAAAATATCCCAGAGTAGCACGGATTAACTTACCTGTGAACTCAGGCAGATCCAAACTAAAGGGTTATAAGACAGCTTAGTCCAGCAAAGCAATATTATTTGTTTCTCTGGAACTGTCAGTTGCACAGTGTCAAAAGAAGGGAGGTTCATTTGGTTGTAATGATTACAGTCCGGTACAAATCCATTTGGTCTGCTTCTGAATGCCCCATCATTGACACTGTTAAGACTATGGAGATTTCCTCAGGACATTAACACACATATTCTGTTGTGGAATAGATATAAGATAGTCTGTAACACCATTAATAATTTAGAGAGGACAAGGTATAGTGGCACAGGAGATTAAACAACTACTGTCTTCCTTCACATTCCCTACTTTAGCACTGGTTCAAGTCCCAGCTGCTTCACTTCCAAACCAACTTCCTGTTAATGCATCCCAGGAAGAAGATGATGGCTCAAGAGCCTGGACCGCTACAACCCACATGAGAGACCCAGAGGTAGTTTCACACTCCTGGATTCAGTTTGGCCCCTAGCTGTTGTGGGTATCTAAGAAGTGAACCAGGAGATAGATAGATAGATAGATAGATTATCGATTAGCACTACTGGTAGATAGATAGATAAATTGTAGTCTACTAGATAGATATATTTAACACGACAAAGGCAGCCAATCATGAGTTACCGAATGACACTGAAATCATTGAGCATATGTGCTGCTAGAGCACTTCAGGATGCAGTAGGTTCTGAAAATGGCAATGGGGCGCTGAACTTGTCTCTGGATGTGGAGTTGTTAGCGCCTGGACTGAGTTATGCCATAGATAGATCTATCTATCTCTATCTATCTATCTATCTATCTATCTATCTATCTATCTATCTCTCCACCTCTATCTTCTCTCATTTAGGGTCTCTAAAATAAATAACTAAACATCTTTAAAAAAAAATTAAGCCATACAAGGTTTATACAAATACTGAGTGCATCACTTTTCCTTAAAAAAGTTCAGCTCTATCAACTACAATCTCCTAGACTTGCTCTCTACTGCTTCCCACGCACCACAGCAGTGACATAGCAGAAGTTTACTTGCAAAAAAAAGTAAAGGGATGTCTGAAAAGGGATGATTTCCATTGGTTCTCACAATCACTCCAGGTATTCCTCTGTCATTCATCTGATAAAACCCCAGGTTGTTGGACAGGTAACCAAATCAAACTCTTTATCAAAGGCTCCTTATCAAGAGCAAAATACAAACTAAATCCCAGCTGCTTATGCTGAGGGTGAACTCCTAGTTGGGTCTCAAATCCGGCAAAACTTCTTGTTCACTCTTTTCGTAAACAAAGTTTTCATTTTTAAAACACCAAGAGAAGCACAAAATATTTACTCTTTGTTATTAAACTAAGTTTAAAACTCCTTCCTGAACTTTGAAGTTAGTTTCACAAGAATACATACTCCATCCCTCCAAAGAGTCACAAGGGCTCCTTACAAAGGCTTTTTTTTTTTTCATTTTTCTTAAAGTGAGTAAATAATAAATAACTTGGCAGGGTAAGATGGGGGTAAGGGGAGTTATTTTTCAATATGATAATGTCAAAATGGCAGATGTTGGTACAACCTAGAGTCTGAAGTGGACGAAAGCTGATTAGAGAGCCCACAGGCTGCTTGCGGAGTTATGCCAGTGGCAATCCAAACGTGCCAACTAATGGCTCCACTCATCTTCTCCTGCTTCTGTCTTTTCATCAGAGTCCTTTTCCACCCTTTCATCTTATCATTAATGTTTCTCGCTTTGAAATAAGTGTCAGACATAATACAGTTTAGAAATTTAACAGCAATATTTCAGAGAACAAGCAGGTTTATTGAAACGTTCAAGAGCATTTCTTTGGACATTTCGAAGTCAAAACTCCAATACAGACATGACAAAAGTTTTTCAAAAGTTTTTTGATGGTTTCATTATTCAGAAGCAATGGAGTTGCAATTTTCTTTTGAAACCAAACAGACGAGCTTCCAACGGATCTGCGCATGAGGCTACCACTACACATACAGAGTCTAATTTCAGACCAAAGAAAAAGGTTACGCTGCTTGAAACAGTTGCAAGTTTTGATGCCTTGATAAATTAGACAGTAACCACATATTGATTATACATCTTCCAGATAAAACGGATGATTTTCAGAGCACTCAATTTTGAAAGAAACTTCTTAAAAAAAAAAAAAATCAGTTTCCTCCATACAACGGACCAGGGTCTGGGACCTGAGAAACACGTGTGGTAGTTTTCTCAGTTCAGCAGAGGCAGCATCAGAATTCAAGACCAAATCCCATCGGCAGCCTTGGAATGTCTGTACTTCGGCACTACAGTCGATAGCAATATAAATCAAGAGCATGTTCTCAGTCATGATGAGATATTGAGTACACTGCTAGAAGGAAAGAAAAATTCATGGGAGGGGAAATTGTGTGCAACACCAGGCGGTTGCAACAAGGCGTCTGCAAAGAGAACAGGGGATGGACTATCACACTCTAACAAGGCTGTGTACTTTGAGAGTCAGGAGGTGCCTTTCACATTATACTCCTAGCCTACAGCCATGTTTCTCTGGGTAATAATATTTGCTCCTGATATTTGCCCAGAACAACTCCTTCTCTCCACTTCTTGGTCACATGGCTCCTTGGTATGTGGTCTCCCCTGGAGCGAGAGTCGTTAGGATTAAATAAGCAATTTAAAAACCAATCAATCATAAATCAGGATAAATCCAAAGTAGCTAAATTCGGCACACGAATGTTTTGTCTAAATTCCCTGTATAGTGTTCTGAATTCCAACTGTTTTATGTTCTTCATTTGAAAGGGCACAGGGAGGAGAGGACTGCCTCAGCCTGGCCAGCCAGGGATAATTGTGCTTTCCCCGAGGCTGGATGATAATTGACTCATTATTCACAGTCATAGCCATCAACCTGCCAAGGCACAAATGCATAAGCCTGGCCTGCAAAAACGGGTGTCAAAAGCCCTAGATGAGGGACAAAAGAGCTGCACGTTGAAAGTTTTGAGATGCCCACTGTTTAGGCACTTGGAGAACATAAAGTTACTAAAAATTTATTTTCAGGAAGCTAATCCATGACAGTTGCATTATGTAGCTTGTTTTTAATTCACAAGTTATATTCTGGGCATCAACTATGCGCAAGGTGATAAGATGGGTAAGATCCCAACCCTATCATTAACTTTAGTTTACCAAATGGTGATTTAAGCCATATATACAAGGGGCAAAAATAGAAAGTACCCACGGCCGACTGTGTGGAAAGTACAAAACCAGAAAATGGTAAAATTATAATGGGTTTTGGAAATCCATCCAAATCTCACATAGGAATGGGACACCCAAATGAACTCTCAAAGACGGCGAGAATTTTAATAGCTGAGCATTGTGAAGCGGTTATTCCACAAGAGGGAAATGTTCTAAGCAATGCCCCAAAGGTGGGAAAGCACAGACCCCGAGATCACCAAA